ACCTACAGTTTGTGAGCTAGAACCTGTAGAAAAATAAATAAGCTCCATTAAGTGTCAAGTCGTGGGTCTGGAACGTGCCGGTATGGCCGAGAGTGTGGAAAGTCAGCTCTCCATCTCGAAATGCTCTCACATGGCCTCGCGTATGTAGCCTCTGCCAGGGAAGTCCTACTCTCTGCCTTCTCGCAGCATTACTGTTGTTTACGAAATTGAGAGGACGAAAAGAGAATGTCCGGCGCTTTAACCGGGTTGGTGAACACGGAGAGTCAGTCAGTAACAACGTAGAACTTCGTACGTTCGTATATCAGTTCGAGTTGCCACACCACATTAGCACAGAGATACAGTTGTCGATTCAAATCCCGTAGTGGTAGAGGTAGCAAGAGTATAAGCAGTAATCGGGAAGATTAGGGTTTGGAGATGTTATTTAAAGAGTATAATCCAGTGAAATAAATTTGGAAAGAGGAAAAAAGGGACATGAAGAATTCAGAAGATTAGAATTTGGGAGAACACAGAGAGTGGATGCACCTGCGCCATTGCAAACGATTTTGAGCCATGTCATTCAGGGTCTCTAACCATCGGTTGCTATCATCTCCCGGAGAGTCAACCTAGGGGAGTCGGAAAACCCTGATTCCAAACCACTGGTGCACATGGGCTCCAGTATCCTGAAGGAACAAATGGCGTATGAACCAATCGTTGGTCACCAGCTACCGTGGGACTGCATCTCCTTACGATGCTCCACTGCTTCGTGGATCAGACCTTCAGGTCGAAGGCTCCGGGTGTGGCCCCCTAAGAAAACCACCTGTTTCGGTTTGGGCACCCGGACAGTATCACAGTTCTCACAAATCAAATAAGATTTGTGTGGCGCATATGTATTTGGTGCCTCCTTGTACGAGAAGCTATGTACTAAAATAAACAAATAATAAATCTTGAAGATCTCCAAACCACAACCATCTAATATACCGTCTTCATACTACACACTTGTCACATTCAAGCTCATTTACGTCGATCTATACTTTAAAATGAAGTCAGTTACTGCATTTTATTATGTAGCGTTATTCATTCACCGAACGGAATTGACAGATTTTCGTAAGAATATGGCATTTCAGTACAGCAGCTCCATAATTAGATACTTTACTTCTGATGTGAACAAGTCACGAGATTTGATTCAATATCATTTTGAAGAGCTCGTATGTCAATAGTAATCGATCAGCCACATCCATAAAACAGGATTGGATTACATGAAAATGAACCTATAGATGCCGTGTGAGATAATGGATCGAAAATTTGACGCTGTAACGTATGTATATCGTTTCAAGTTGTCAAACCCCATAAGCACAGAGATGAAGTTGTCAGATCAAATCCAAAAATAGTAGAGGTAGCAACGCTATCAGCGGTAATAGGAAACATTGGGCATCGAAGACACGATTCGAGCAGACAATACAAATCAGTAAAATAAAAGCAAAAAGTGTCATGAGGAATCTAAGAATTTCGTGGGATGACAAAGAACGGATGCACCTACGCCATTGCGAACGATTTCGAGGCACGTTATTTAAAGTCTCCAACGATTAATTACTATAATCAAGCGGAACCCAACCAGCTAGTCGACATATGGCTCATTTTATTTGTGTGATGTCATGAGCTTTGCCATGTTTTGGCTTAGCCGCACCTAACGGACAACCGCCGTCACACCTCTAACAACATCCGGGAGTATCCCTCCATCACTTATTAATACATGTCATGTATGCACATATACAACATGTGATATACGAACCGGTTACTACTGGATGTGACTTCAGAAAGAAACAAAACAATCCTGATGGATACAGGTACATCTATTAAACAAAGCCCCAAATAGTAGGACACTTGAATCCCGGATCTCACACAGACAATAAGACAAGATTATGAAATGAAAGCAGTTAATTTAGAATTAAACCAATATTTTTAAACAGTAGGAAAAGTCTAGGCGACACTTTCGCTGAAGAATAATTATTATTTTTGATAAGCAATTCAAACTAAATAACTGAAAACATACTTAATAAATAAACAACATATATTCAGCAAATGTTATTTTATCACTTCACATTTTATTTGATTAATATGCCTCACAATTACCGATATGGAATACCAGCCTTAAGTCAGACAGGCGCCTTAGAAAATATATTTAAAGAAATAAAATCCAAACACAGGATTTTCAATGAATAATCGAGTCGTCTTATATAAAACACAAACGTCTTAGATGTCCAAATAATTGGATTAATACTTTGGGAATTCTTATTGAATTACTGATGCACCCTACGGTAAAAAGTCATTAGCCTCCTGACGATTACGTCATGTAGTCCTAAAAGTAATTACTGCAAGGACTGCTGACACTCAGTGGTAACACAATGTAACGCAGTGGTTCGGCATCGTATGTTCGGGCACAGCTACGATAATTCAATTCAGCCAGTCAGTTACAATGTAGGACCAGGTACATATATGCATCGGTTCAAGTTGCCACAACTCATTAACACAACAAGATGAACATCAAATTCATCGAAGTAGTTACTTCAATGGTAATAATACATAAAAGAAAGATTGCATATGAGGATATAGTACAGGAAGAAAGAATTAGTTCGTAGAAAGAAAAATATAAAGCAATTTTTATCTCACGGTTTAAGGGAAGACAGAGAGTGTATACACCTACTCCACTGTGATCGATTCTGAGCCATGTCACCCACAGTCTACAACCATTGGTTACGATAGTCACGCGGACCCCAACCAAGTAGTCTGCATCTACCAACATTGCTAGGACTAGAAGTTAGTGACTTCAAAAACTGATGCCACGTTTTAGTTTGGCCGCCCCTAACTTTCTTCCAACCATCACCAACACTAGTCAGCAGCATTGCGCGTTGTGGTAATCAGTATTCAGGCATACGTAGCACGTGGCCCAACCATCTCAGTCGGTGAAGATTTACAACCTCATCAACTGATTTACCATCATTCCCTAATACCCTATGTCCAACCTCACTATTATTTAGCCGGTGGTCCCAGCAGATGCGAGCAATATTTCTAAGGTATCTGTGGTTAAATACTAGTAGCTTACGAATATCTTATACTCTTTATGGCAACGTTGCGCAGTCGTAAAGTAGAACATAACGAACTGTTGGGCAGTATATTCGTCCCTTAATTGATATACGGATATCTCACCTTCACCATAGGCGACGTAAGTTGGCAAAAGCCAAACGAGTTTCCTGAATCCGTGCTGAGATTTTACCAGACACCAACTAAATGAGCAAGTTTAGAGTTGATATAGGAGGAATGATAGGAATTGAAGAGAGATATTGATTATGAATACAGTGATCTTGGGTGCTAGCCCACAACGTGAAAGCGTTCTTCTAGAGGTACCTGAAAAGGAAATTAGTTTAAGGGTGGTCTTAGCATTCCGGCTCAGCGAACAGATAATGGTGATCGTTTGCTGCAACTGTGCTCAGACAATCGTTTATTTCTAGCAAACACCAATTTTAAACATAAGGAGACATCATCTTATACGGCGACCCCCTGCACCAAACCAACGATGGACTCAAATAGACCGTATTGCCATCAATCATATTTGGAGAGAGTCGACAGAAGATTATTGCTCGTTCTGGAATACTTGCTTAGACTCCGATCATTCATATACGTGCGCATCTCTGGACGCAGGAAAACCACATTAAGACCCATTATAATTGAATTGAGTAATGATAAAATCAAAAGTAGGTTCCAGGAACGACTGAGGCCACACCTAGGTAGTTCTGAAAACGAGGCCGATCCAGATGTTGCTTGAAAAGATATACAAATAGCAGTGACATCTGTTAGTGATTTGAACCAGTTACAAAAAACCAATGGATTTCTTCTAGGACTATTGCACTGATGGATTCTCGTAAAGTCATATCATCAGGCTGTCAACACGACGATGAGCGAAAGTAAATCAGATCTAGGTTAAGCAAAAGTCTATGGAACGACTGTGGGCAGTGGCAGGCAACGAAAGCAAAAGAGATAGAAAAGACGGCTGCTGTAAGTAACACAGGACAACCCTTCAGACTCATAAAGGAAATTGGAACTAAAAAAATCAAGTATGAGTGAGACTATATCGGAACAAGACAACACTTTTATCTGCTTCCAGCCCAGACGTTTAAAATAATGGGCGGAACACTTTAAGGAGCAGTTCAGCCGGTCTTCAGCAACTCTACAACTACCCACCATTTCCAGACAGCGTGAATAGAGTACTGAAGTAGGTCGCCCGACTCAAGCTGAAGTTCAAAAGGCTATAGCTAATCTGAAAAGAGGAAGAGCAGCTGGTCCTGATGCATTGGCTTCAGAGGTATTTAAGTATGGTGGTCTAATTCTAGAGATTAGGTTGACTAATATTTTAGCTAAAATCTGGGAGTTGGACGTAATCCCACCTAACTGGTCACAATCACTGATTTTCGCAATATATAAAGGGTCAAATTCATCCTGCGATAACCACAGAGGAATTAGTTTGATCGATCACAACAACGTAGGCCTATACATCCTTTGTCTTCCCTTAAAGCGCGAGATTAAAATTTTTTATACCTTTCTTCCCATGAACCAATTATTTCTTCTTGTATTATATCCTATTACGCAATCTCTCTTTTATGCATTTCTATCATTGAAGTAACTACTTCGATGAGTTTGGTGTTCAACTTGTTTTGCTAATGAGGTTTGGCATATATGTGCCCGGCCCTAAGTTGTAGCTGACTGACTGGTGTTATTTATGCACTATATATACTTTTATACGTTTAGTGACTAGTCGTAAATAAATTTATATGATGGTCCGTTTCCGTTTATTTGGAATTATTCGTCATCACATTATAGCCTCAGAAAACCTATCTGTATTAATATGTACGAGGACCTAACTGTAACCAATACCATAAAACACCAAATAGATTATTACACCCAATTATAGCTAAGTAACGAAAAAAACCTGGAAAATAAGATCAGGTTTACTAAACATTCTGAATACTAGTTGTCAGGAGTACACGTAATTTCCCATACAATACCATTACCTCCCTAACAAAAATAAAACCAGGTAATCAAAAGTCCAACTAGTCCCTTTGATAAATTTATTTAATGTAATAAAATACCAAGACTATCAGAACTATGATATATAAACCCAATGAATTTCGAAATATCTGATCATATTTACCTGTTGAAGCATTTATGCATAAAAAAGAGGTCAACTGCGCAAATTGATCGGTGTGAAAAACTTAGCGAGCCATACAACTGAATAGTAAATCAATAAAATCAAGGTACGTATCAATCTTTTTTAACACCATGGTGGTTTGAACTTTCGTACGACTAGGGCTTTAACACGCCTAAAAATTCGATTTGGACGACTTTTTAAGAAAACATAAAGGCTGAGTTAAAATCATTGTAGTTTTAATTTGGAGCTCTAATGACAGCACATTGAAATGCCAAGTAACATATTCCTGTGAAAAGCATTCAGCCACAGGTTCTTTACTAAATAGAGTTTTTTCGCCATCATCATGTCAGTCATGCAAAACTAACGATGTAAATAAATAAAATGAACCATCGAGCCAACAATTTCGCTGAATAGCTTATGCAGATTTTTAATCACCCTATAAGTCAGAATCACTGCAACTACTTTCGTCTATTTTCAAAGCAATACCTTTTCGTTTGATAAAGCAAAACAATTTTCCTTAAATATGATCGGTGAATGATTTGGAAGTCATTAATAAGTAATTACTAACAAAGTGAGCAGGAAATGATACAGTTTTACGCATCTTAGTAGGTCGAATATGAATGCAACGATAACCTTCGCCATATCCTCTTACATATGATATCACTGGAGAGTTGAATTATTACGAATAACACGTTAAAGAAACAAGTCTAACACTACAAAGAATTACATCAAATGGTTTTATATGTACTTCAACGTACAATGTGGGAAATATTAACAGTGATTTATCAGAATCTGAAATAACTCCGTCAATTCGCAACCTGAACGAGCGTTATTGTCTCTCCTTTTAAGAGGATCCTTCCTGCAAGGAAACAACTCGAAATGAAATTACAATACTAACCCAAAGGTTTTTTAGCTCCTGACTTCATGTGCCTCTCACAAGCGTCAGCCAGCACCAGGTTCATGTACTCGTCAAAACCCTGTATACAGTGGTGAGCAACAAATTACTGACGTACAATTATCACTCCTTCAATTCGTAAGTTACACTGTTCATACAGCCATACCCTCACACGTGCTTTCTAGGAAGAAGTATTACATAGACAGTCGTTTCAACAAAATACCTTCTGCAAGAAATTATAAACAACACCCTGTAGTTACCAATAAGCATACAACAAAGGAACTTACAATAGGAGGTTGGATAGCTTTGTAAGATCTACCGCCTTCTCTGTGCATCGTGCTCGAAAATTCAGTCTAAGCGCTTGAGCTAAAAACAAATTCTTTGTTAATATCCTCTACGTTCCAATGTCCAATCTATTCAACGACAAACTTCGAGATAAGAAAAGAAATTCGATGGTTATTTGGCTCACGGTTAAGCGGCGATTCATGGTTTTTTTTAAATGGAGGTTCTTAGTAGAGTTTGTGGGTTGTAGACAGTAATGTCTTAGGTTATACACTGTTAAAGTATTCATTGATATCTAGATCTTTCTCGATACTATTAAAAAAACCCAGGACAGTTCAAACATCGTTGTCAAGAGCTTGTATAAACCGACTGATTTTTTCGACCCCTTCTTGTTGTTTTGGAACGGTTCTAGGTATCTGGTAATGTCCAGTGTGTGGTAACATATCCACTTACTTACGCTTGTCACCCTTCATGGAGGGTTTTAGGCCGTCCACCATCATTCTCCATCCAACCCTGTCCTAGTCAATCCTTTCTAGTTGTTTCTAGTTGCTATTCATCCTTTTCCTGTCTGCTTCCAATTGCCGACACAGTGCGCTGTTTGGCCTTCCTCTTTACCGTTTCCCTTCAGGATTTCAAGTTAGCGCTCGCCTCGTGATGCAATTTGCTGATTTCCCTAATGTATTTCCTATCCACTTCCAGTGTCTTTTCCTGATCTCCTCTTCAGCTGTAAGTTAGTTTGTTCTCTCCCACAGTAGGTTGTTGCTGATGGTATCTAGCTAACGGACGTTCAGTATCTTATGTAGACAATTGTTTAGAAATGCTTGTACATTTTTGATGATGGTTGTTGTAGTTCTCCAAGTTTCAACTCCATACAGTAGGACTGTCTTGACATTCGTATTGAAGATTGTGACTTTGGTATTGGTTGACAGTTGTTTTGAGTTCCATATGTTCTCCAACTGTAGGAATGCTGTCCTTGTTTTCCCAATCCTTGCCTCCACGTCTTGAACGAGTGAGAGGGCAAACACAAATGTTAATGAGAGTGATACGAAGTAGTTACTGACATATGGTACTGAGAACCATATAACATTATGAGACATACATTAATGAAAATAATGCCGGGCGTTGTGGCTTTTCGTCGTTAGACCTAACTTTCATATCAATCATCAGTCTGGGTGTCCATCTCTGTACTTAGTTTAACAAGTTTTCATCTGTTCTGAAGTGAGGGAGAGCGACGTTGCTATAGACGTCATGATTATGCCATGCATACGTTTTGAAGAAAGTTAGAAACAACTTTCTGGTGATTACACCACGTTATCTTCTCACAAAGTGCAGTTCGAGCTGACGTCTGTGCTCACTGTGGTTACTAGTCTGAGATAACGCTCCAAGGAGGCGATCAGAAGTTAATATTCACGAAGAGTGTAAATGATCTGTATCTAAATCTACAGAATATTTATGACAAGACATTTCGACGAAATATTTTTAAACCTTTTGTATACTGCTCATGTCTCTGCTAATGTAGTTTCCTTTTGAAGATTAAGTTAACCATTTTTCACTCTTATGGACTTCTAGATTTTTGCGTTGCCTGTAAAGATTAGTGCTCATTAGCAAATTTTACTCCACAGGTCGTTAATAAAGATCACGATATGTGTGAAACTTAAATCGTTCCTAGCGAAAATCCTGATGTTGATATCTTACAACTCACGGGCACTCGATTTACATCGATACGAAACATCTTATCCTTTAGATAGTTTTGCAAACAACATAAAAGTAGGGCAGTGAAATTCGTCTTTCCACCCTTTGGTGTGAGGAGTACATGCAGTACTGTGCCAATGGCTTTCACTAAATCGAGCAATATTACATCAACTGGTATACTATGGTCCCAGTAGGTTGTACAGTTTTCCAAAACTAAACACTGCTGAACTTGCCGAAGTATGTCATTTTTACCCATTTATTCTCTAATCTTCTATTTAGTAGTCCTTCCATCACCTTTGACGGCACCGGGAGTACTGCAACTGGTCTGTAACAGGCTGGATCTTTTCTATCCGAATTTTCAAAAATTGGAAGTTGGTGTGAATCTAGTGACGCCTGAACAGGCCTCACAGCGGTGTGCCAGTAGCCTCTGTGCACTGTTTCAGGGTTGTATCTCGAATTCTCACAACCTGACGGTTTTCCTGGGCGCAAGAATTCTAGTTTTTCGACTAATAACCCAGAAGTTAGTTAGAGATCACTCAGACCCTCAACTGGTGATTTGTCTTTTTACAAATACAAATCCCTGGTCCGTAGGTTTACTCTTATTCATGAATTTGTAGAAACATTTAGGGTTGGTTTTCGGTTCGGCTGCTAGTTTGGAATGAAAACATCTCCGATTGCCTAGAACTTTGGCATGGCATCTGTTTCTCAATATTATGTAAGTTACGTTCAGAGTCCTTCAAGGAGACTTTCCAGTTGTGCCAAGTTCTCTGTTTGGCCTGTAGCAAGCGTTACGTGCATCGCCTAACACGGGCTCTTTGCTTTCCGCTCGTGTCATTACCTTGAGTTTCATTGTGTTCGATAGGATTCCGAGTGACGTTTCTCATTATCTTCCTCTGGATGCATAATATAAGCCTCCAACACACTCGTAGTCAGGGTAAGTATTGAACAAGCTCACACATCGCCGTGTAGTCTGCTTCAATATAGCTAGCGTAACGAACATTGTGGTCCCTCCGAAGTATCTCGTTTGTGACAACGTCAAACATGACCGTATCATGATCGCTACTGTATTATGTGCATGGACACGGAAACCGTCAAATAGAAGCTGATTGTTTGTCGATAAACAACGTAGCTTTGAGGATATTTTGTCCAGGATTGATCTCGTGGCATCATCCATATGTTTAGTTAGTCCTGAACTTCTAATGGCTGTTCGCAAGACTTTTATGGAACTACATTGTAGGGGATGTAGCTCTTGCTGAGATTTAAGGATGGAGTGTCTAAATCTCCGGCTTTTAATATCTGGCCAAGTCTCGGGTATGATAGACTAAGTATCGCCTGTACTATTTCATAGTTTTGGCTGTTTGAACCTGCACGAAGTCGATATATTCCTCTACCCAGTTGCTTCGTGACGTTCATAACGGAGGAATACCAGCGCGATTCTGTCTTCTTGGTTAAGTCGATGCTGTGTGATGATGCGGTTTTGGAGCGAATGTTAATGTATACCGTCATCCCACCCCCTGTTCCGTGTACTATATTTTATCTAAAAAATGGTATACCTCACAGACCCACCCTTCCATTCATGATGCTTAATGTTAGACATGTTTCAGTTAGGACCATGATCTTCAGATTTAACAGAAAGCACATGTTTCTAATTTTCCCTAGTTTACTCTTCAGTTGTCTTACATTTTTACAGAGGCACTTGATGGTTTGTTTCATATTACGTTAATCCTCTACAGCTGCCAATGTTTTCTGGGTTTTCAGCAGGTGACTTCCTAAAGTGTGTTGGCTAGTTCCGTGAGGACTGTCCGCTGTCGTTTTTTTGCCTGTACAACGTGTCTCACTGTCAGAATTATTATCTATATGTTCTGAAGCATGGGTTGATAATCAGGGTCAAATGACACCACGATGTCTCATTGTGCGCTTTTATCGAAGGTTGACCTGCATTTTAATAAGCTACTCTTCGTCACTGGAACACTAAATAAAATCATGGAGTTTTGTCTGACATTACTCCCCCATCTTTAGTCTTTTAGGATCTAGATTTTTATCATTAGCCTTCCCAATGCCCACAATGTTGTTTACAGATGCTAAAGTGTTAGCGACAGTGGGTAATTTCGCTGGCGTATGCGTTCCGGTCAGGCCTACGATAGTCATATGTTTGGCTTGGTTCGTGTCTGTCTATCTAGATATGCTGATGGGTATTGATACGGTTGCTTTCAGTGTGACCTATGTTTCTCTTTTAATACGTCTGTTGGTGTGTTTATTCTGAAATGTGATCAGCAATATCAGAATCACGGATTGAACGACATAACATAAACCTATAGTACTGTCTAGGCATTGCAGCATCACAGAGACAGTGAACATATGAACAGATTGAAAGACTTGTTACGATTCTGAAGATAACCAAGGCGTTTTGCCCCACAAACATGTACGGATTGAAATAATCGCACTCACCCTCATTGCTTGCTGGTCAATAACTCCAGCCCCTTCTATTTTGTTACGCTCCTTTAAGTTGTTGAATGAAATGCAGTTATGTCTTACTTACAGGCTCTGCTTTCCACATCCTGTGAGAAAACACTTATTCCTCCAGCACATTGAGCAAGCATGTCGGACAGTTAAAGCCGGTAGGCCAATTATCGAGCATAGAACAGTAATGCACAGTAGCATGAAATAGAGCGTGGAGATAGATAGAATAGTTATGAATTCTAATAATTTTAAGGCTATATGCACGGATTTAAAATTAGGCGGTTGAACAGCATCATGCGCGGTAATAGTTGAAAACTAATAGTGTAAGAATGGGCTCACATTGTTATCGTTGGTGATGCTTTTGAGAGAAAGTTTCAGAGTATTTCTGATTTCTAACCTGATTAGTCTCTAGTTGCATTAAGTTTTATCGAGTCGCGGTCCAAGTTATTTCTAAGAACTAATGTGTGCAACATAATCAATAATCGTAGAGATCAAAAGAAAACACAAGAAACGGTTATTCAACAGTTATAAGAAAGAATTATATGTTAAATTTATGTTTGACCTAATCTCAGCGATTGAAATTTGAATAATCCCAACGCTTCTTTCAGCAAACTTGTTTGAACTTCTTTAGGGTAGTAATCAAAATCATCAAAGAAATATATAGCGTTTAACAATCGAATCGAATTAAATCTATACGGTGCTAATCCAATCACATTTGGATGTTGACTTTGGTAAATGGGATAATATTAATAAATTAAATGCAAATTATATTAAAAGTTCATGATGTAAAAACAAATGACTGAACTAATTGATTGAAGTGTTCGAGTGACTTGGGACTTTGCACAAACTATCGTGCAGATTTTGTGTCTTGAAATAATGTATGTTGGGGAGAAAATCTCTTAGAACAAGAACCTTGTTCGTTCGATTCCAATGTACAATACGGTGGATTACGATGATTA